TGGAGAGGGCCTCTTGGGATTGAGGTAACTAGGTGTTCTGTTTGCTTCTTGGATTTGAGGCTTTAATTCTTTCCATAGGTTTGGGAAGTTCTCACGCTCTATTGTTTGAATAGACTCTCCTTCCATGCTCCCTCTCTTCCTCCTGCGGAATTCCTATAATTCTAATGTTGCTTTTTCTGATGGAGTCAGGTAGTTCTTGTAGAGCTCTTTCATTCTTCTTATGTCCAGGTCTCTCTCTCCTTGCCTCTGCGTCATTTCTAGATTCCTGCCTTCAGCGTCACTAATTCTTTCCTCCATCTAGTTGGCTCTGTTTTCTATCTCAGTAGTTCACTCTGAATGTCTTTAATTGCATGCTTCATTTCTGAGCTTTCTGGTTGGTTCTTTTTAAGTTTTAATCTCTTCGGTAAAGTACTCGTTTTGGTCATTGAATTGCCTGTTTTCTTGCATCTTGTTGATTATTTTCAGAACTGCCATCTTGAAATCTGCCATTTATATCACACATTTCCATGTGTTCCCGCTTGCTTTCTGGGGAGTTTTCATTTTCTTTCTGATCATCCTTGTTACTGTGGTTATTCATGGTATTTGTGTGATTATGTCTGTTATTTTTGTTTGGTAGTATTCCATACTTCTTTCCTCTGTTACCCCCCTCCCCCAATCTGTCTCTCTTGAATTTATATACAGTTAATTTCAGAGAAGAAGGGGTTCTTTGCTTAGTGAGGTCTTTGCGTTTGTGTCTATATTAATGAAGAGCTCTTTCTACTGCGTTCCCGTAGATAGTGCTGAATCGCAAGGCTTTTCACTCTGACCTCCTAGTCCAGCGGTTCTCCACCTTCCCAATGCCGCGGCCCTTTAATACAGTTCCTCATGTTGTGGTGACCCCCGACCATAAAGTTATTTTCGTTGCTACTTCATAACTGTAATGTTGCTACTGTTATGAGTTGTAATGTAAATATCTGATATGCAGGATGGTCTTAGGCGACCCCTGCGAAAGGGTTGTTCGGCCCCCAAAGGGGTCGCGACCCACGGGTTGAGAACCGCTGCACCTAATCTTAACCTCCACAGCTTCCTAAGACACTCTGCTTGGTGGGGTTTGCTTTACTTTCACTGTTGTGGCGACCCCTGACCTCCATGGTGCCCCAAGCACCCCTCCTGGGCATCAGTCACAGAGGGAAACCGCAGCAGCTCCTGGTTGACAGATAACAGGCTCCTGCACCCAACTGCACGGGCAGCAGGAGGCGAGGTGCGGGAGTTCAAGCAGTGGCAGGGCTCTGTGGTCTGCTTTTGTTTGAAACACTGCGCCTTGCCTGGCAGTGGAGAGCCACACGCAGAACCCTGTGCTCTGCCAGGCATCTCTGACCCAGACACTGTTCGCTCCCTTGCAGCTCGCCCCGCTGGGCTGCCCCGTGCCGCGCTCTGTTCCTCCCCCGCGAGCTCCAGGCGGCAGGGCGGCGTCTGTGCGTCCCTCCCTTTTCCTCTCCTGGTTACTCCCGTGCGCGGGTCTCAGGTGTGCCTCTGTGCTGAGCAGGGATGTTTTTGTTGAATTATAGTTGGTTAACGTGTTGACATTTCAGTGGGAGAGGCCGAGGGCTCCCTCACGCCGCCATTCCTCTGATGTCACTCTCTCTCGTTCTTGAATGCCCTGTGGACGTGGTATGCTATTAAAATGTCATTTTTAAGATTATATCATAGTTTATATTATAATTGGTAAAGCAAATAAAATTTCTCATTAACAGCTCCAAATTAACAATTTGGAGCACCTGCCAGGAGGGAGGGACAATGCCCTTTTTGCTTCGCACTTGCTATTCCGATAGCCCAGGGGTCGAATGATTAACATGCCTGCGCGCACACACGTAGGATGCTGTGATGGTCAAGGACAGGAAGCAGACGCCGATGGGTCAAGCTTGCTTTTTCTTTTTTAAAATATATTTTCATTGATTTCAGAGAGGTAGGGAGAGGGGAGAGAGATAGAAATATCAATGATGAGAGAGAATCATTGATCGGCTGCTTCCTGCACTTGCCTCACTGGGGATCGAGCCCGCAACCTGCGCCTGTGCCCTTGACTGGAATCGAACCCAGGACCCTTCAGTCTGCAGGCCAATGTTCTATCCTGTGAGCCAAACCAGCTAGGGCTAGAGCTTGCTTTTAGGCACAGAGCTAAGCAGTAAGTTCCTTGTTTCTTGGCCATTAAATAATGAGAGCAAGTCTATATACTTCTATGTTGTATTACTATCCAGGACAACTGAATCACAGGTGTGTGGAGGAGACAAAGAACAAGAGAGAATATCTAGTCCCAGGTTGTGTGACGGTTGTAGCGTGCAGACTGGTAAACAGCAGCCCTGGTGCTGAAGGCAGAGGCAGAGGCGACGCCTGGGGCTCGGAGCTCTGCCCTGGGACTGGCGCTGGCTTCAGAAACAGTGACATAGGCTTGTGTGCAGAGCAGCGTGCAGCAGCGCGTGTCAGCTGACCCTGGGGTTAGGTTCATGATCTGGAGGAAGTGGAATAAAACGGCCAGCTCATCCCACCTTGAACATTATGGTAAGCAGTCTTTCCAGTGGCATTGTGTAGGAGGAGCGGTGTTTATGACTAGTCGCTGCCATGGTCTGTAAGAGTGTTTTTAAGGAAAGAATAATTCTCTTTTGGCCCATTTCCCGGCCTCCCTCCGTCCTGTCTCCCTAGTGAAAGCGGTGAACTGATGTGGATAGAATTAATTATCGTTTACAATTAACTGTTTCCATGTAATCTTGCTGCTTAAACTGCTCAAGCTGTGGAACGCCCGTGTTTCTTGCTTAGGATGTCGGTAAAACTTGTGCTGAGTCATTTTGCGTGAAGTCAGTGGGGCGAAGTTCTATTTTTAGCCCCTGCAGGCCCAGGAGTGCGAGGGGGGAGCAGTCCCGTGCACCTGTTCGGTGCTGCCCACCTAGAGAGACTCAATCCCGTCTAAATACTTTCGGCCACAGAATAAGTACAAGGTTGCTACGAAATACACTCACTTTTCTTGTATCTGGTGAAAGACTTTTCTTTCCTCTAGTGAGAAATAGAATTTTTAAAGTTTAAAAGTCTACATAAGTAAAAGATTTTTTGCTCGTGCCTGTTGGCAACATTCATTTTTCTTTAAAGGTTGCCTCTTATTCTTACCCTCCCAATTTCAGACATTTCATGCTCTCTCCTCCCGTTTGACCCTGTTTCTGCACAGAGACTAGGATCTGGTCCATGACCCTTAAAGGGAAACGGCGACAGCTCCGGCCTGCTCTCTGGGCTGCTCCTCGTGGCGGTCATGAGGGCTCGTTTCAGAAGAAAAATCAGACCATGAGCTCCTCAGGGACTCAGATGAACTTTTTGTGATTTTTCTTTTTAAATAACTGATGTGTTTTCTTTTTCTTTTAAAATTGATTTTAGAGAGAGGAAGGGGGAGAGAAAGAGAAGGAGAGAGAAACATCAGTTGGTTGCTCCCTCACAGGCCCCAATCAGGGACCACAACCTGGGTATGTGCCCTGACCAGAAACCAGACCCTCTGGTATGTGGGGCGAGCCACCCGGTCAGGGCTGTGGTTTTTCTTTATATTGAACTAGAGGCCCGGTGCACGAAATTTGCTCACTGGCGGGGGGTGGGAGGGTCGTCCCCTCAGCCTGGCCTGCACCCTCTCACAGTCTGGGAGCCCCGCAATCAATTGCCCTGAAGGATTCCTGCAAGAATAGGGCTTCCTCGGGCCAATTGAGCCGCCAAGCCCCGCCACCCGGGGCCGCACACGGGGGCCCGGATGGCCGCTCGTGCTGGTCCGCCCTGCCTGCAGTATGCAAATTAGCCACCATGTTTGTTGGCGGTTAATTTGCATATCACTCTGATTGGCTGATGGGTGTTGCGAAGGTATGGTCAATGAGCATCTTTGTCTTTTATTAGTGTGCTTTTATTATTACAGATTTAGCACAAGACCTTGCTGACATAGGCAGTGACTAGGATGCTGACTTTAGCTGTGCGAGGGCACGTAGGCCCTTCGGCTGCCCCGTCAGCAGGATGCTGTACCCCTGGGAAGACAGAAGTGACTTTTCTCAGTGGGTGCCATTGGATAGATCTGGCCTGGGCTCTGCAATGGATCACCCCCACAGAGGGAGGCCCAGGCTACCTGCCACAGCGCCGCCAGCCAGGTAGCCTGGGCCTCCTACTTTGGGGCAATCGCGGAGCCCCCCAATTGATCGCCCTGCCAGCTGATGTCTTGAGCCTCCCTCTTCGGGGTGATCATGGGGCAATGGCCGGGCCCCCAACCAATCGCATTACACCCACCTTGGCTGGCCTGGAGCCAGTGGGTGTCATAGCGTGGTCATCTGGATGGTCCAGATGGTCATTCTGCTGTTAGGCCATTCGGTCGATTTGCATATTATGCTTTTACTAGAGGCCCGTTGCAGGAAGATTCCTGCAAGAATAGGGCTTCCTCGGGCCAATTGAGCCGCCAAGCCCCGCCACCCGGGGCCGCACACGGGGGCCCGGATGGCCGCTCGTGCTGGTCCGCCCTGCCTGCAGTATGCAAATTAGCCACCATGTTTGTTGGCGGTTAATTTGCATATCACTCTGATTGGCTGATGGGTGTTGCGAAGGTATGGTCAATGAGCATCTTTGTCTTTTATTAGTGTGCTTTTATTATTACAGATTTAGCACAAGACCTTGCTGACATAGGCAGTGACTAGGATGCTGACTTTAGCTGTGCGAGGGCACGTAGGCCCTTCGGCTGCCCCGTCAGCAGGATGCTGTACCCCTGGGAAGACAGAAGTGACTTTTCTCAGTGGGTGCCATTGGATAGACTTAATTAGGAAAACATGGATACTGAATTGGATCTACAGATGCATAATTTTTAAACTTTTGTGTTCACTTAAATATTGGTAATGTCTTTCTTTTGGAACATGGAAAATTAATTTCTTTATAAAACCTTCATATTAAAGCAAAAGAGTACAAAACCTGGTTTTTACATACCCGGCAGCAAACGAATGTGTGTTTTTGTTCCCACGCAGAGCTCTGGAATTGAGACGTTAGTGGAGGAGCTCTGCTCCCGCCTAAAAGACCTGCAGAGCAAGCAAGGTGAGTGCTGCCTCCAGGCCTGTCTGTGCAGGCACAGTAGTCACCACGGAGGCAGGGGGTGATCTTAGGATGGAGCCAGCAAGAACCACAGCGGGGGAGGTCTGTGTTCAGTGTGTCTCCAGGCGAGCGTGGGTCAGCCCTCCGCTGTCACCTGTAGGGAGCCCCCTGCTGCTGAGTGCATTGGCCCACAGGTGCCCTAGGAGAGAGGAGGAGAGAGGAGCAGCACGTCTCCTCCCGTCCTTGTGCCCTGCTGAGACCCCCCTGTTGACACCAGGCCTTCTTAATTAGGTGTCAACACTAAGTACCTCAGATTTGGAAGAACTTCTACTTTGACTCTTGAATTTTGGGGGGAAGGCAGGCTTGACAACCTCAATAAGCCATTTTGACTCAAGAACCCTCATCACGTTTTTTCCCCACTTTTCTGTAAGCCCAGCCTAAGATTAAGGACCTTTATTTTCCTTGTCCTCTTCATGCTCATTTTGCTGCCCATCAGGTCTTGACCTTCCTATTAAGGGCGTGGTTGGTTCGTTTGTGTTGAATTCCGGGCAGGATCATGAGTTAAGCTAAGGGAATAGCCCTTTGTTTCTGTTTTAGTGGAAACACAGCCCTTGGCCTTCTGGATGTTAAGGGACGGATTGCGAATTGTGATTAAGAATTTTCTGTGCAGAATTTTCTGATTAACATCAGTCAAGGTGATTCGGTATAGAAAGTCCATGAGTGCAGAATTTTGTGAGAAAATATTTTTGGAATCTAAACAGATGTTCTCTCTTTCTGGTGTAATTAACAAGTACCCAGGGGATTTCAGTTTCTCAGTCAGGTGCCTCCAGAGCGCTGGCTCGGTGATGAGACGAACAGGTCTCGCCTCAGCCGTGTTCACGGGGTGTAGCCAGAGACTTCCCCCTGGTACACTGAAGAAATAAGTTGTTATTACAAAGATAAACTGCCACAAAAGCCTATATAACTTCTATTAAAGTTTGAGAAATTTTTAAAAACATGACAAAACTTTCTAAATTTTGTTTCACAACAGAAGAGAAGATTCACAAAAAATTAGAAGGGTCTCCCTCTCCAGAGGCAGAATTATCCCCGACAGCAAAGGATCAAGTGGAAATGTACGTAAGACTCATTAGTCACAGAGTGCGCATTTGTTAAATTCAGAGTAAGAATTACTGCATGGGTTACAGTTTTGCTCATCGTCTTGTATGTAGTTTCATATTTTATAATTCAGGGAACATTGAGCACTTACGTGCATATTTGACACAGAATTCAGAGGTGAGTAAGGCTCTGTCCTTACATTACACATTGAATCAGCCTTTGTGCAGCGGGTGAGTGAAACAAGGCTGCTATTTGCCGTCCATTCATGTCCTGTGACCACGGGCATTCCCACTGTCTTCGGAGGCAGCTGAAAGGAGCCATGCACATCCTTGTTGCCCACACAGGAACCAGGTGCCCACTGCTGGCTCCAGCGGGAATGGCGAGTCATGGGCCTCGCCGCACTTGTTTGCTGAAGACACTTTAGTTCTTTCTTTGTAAGTGGTTAGTGTTAAAATCAGCTGTGTTACAAGCAGACTTCTTTATTACACATTGTATTTGGGTCTTCTGAACGTCTAAAACTTAAGGAAAGAGGAGCGTGTGGTTGGTTTGTGTAACCCTGCGTTGTCCACCATGGTGGCCTAAGTCACGTGCGGCTGTTGAGCCCTTGAAATGTGGCCACTTCACAATGAGACGTACTGGGAATATAAATTCCAGCAGATCTCAGAGACTCTGTGTAAAAAAGAATGTAAACTATCCTAGTAATATCTCTTAGTACCAATTACATGTTGAAATGATGTTATTTATCATGGTTATATTTGTAAACCATTAGTAAAATATATTATTGAAATTAATTTCACCTGTTTCTTCTTATGCTTTTACTGCGCCTCCTAGAACATTAAGAAATACATTGAGGCACACAGTATGTTTCTCTTAGCTCTGCTGCGGACCGAGCAGGTCCCTTCGTGAGCCTGGCTTTTCGCTGCTTCATGTGTGACCTTGCCAGCCGCCTGCACCTGGAGGCTCCCTCTGGCATCTGCTCGCTGTGAACTCTCTGGGGCTCCCAGTTTCCTAGCAACCGAGAGCTCTTCTCCCACTTTCCAGGCCTCTAAAGCCTGCCTCTCGAGGTCCATCCTCACCGCAGGGTCGCTGTCGAAGCAGGCTTCAGCCTGGACCCATCTGCGTCCCCAGGGCCCTGCACCTCAGTGTCCTCACCGCACAGCTGCATGTCTGGGCCGTGAAGGCGCCCTGCGGTCCACCTGCTCTCATTGTCCTTTCTGCACGCTTGCCTGCCACAACCCCTGCTAATTCTGAGGGTCTCCTTAATGCCGGCACTGTGCTCCCTCCTGAGAAAAAGCACGGCAACACTCACTCAGGAAGATGCTGTCAGGACTCATTTCACAGGCGAGTTCCTTTACTCGTCACAGCTCGGGGAGGTAGACACCTTTCTTGGGTGACTTGTTTGAGGCCACACAGCTAGAAATCGACAGTCAGGACTTGAATCAGGAAGTGTGGCTTCAGAGTGTATGCTCTCACCTGCTTGACTATACAGCTTTTCAACTGCATCCACTCCGGCCTCACAAAGCCTGTGAGGTAAGTCATGTCATCTCCATTCCACAGCGGAGGAAGTGTGGCCACGGCATAAATTAGTAGCTGTAAGCCGTGGCGTAGTGAGTCTGAACTGAGAATGACATTCAGGTATCTCTTATTGAAAGATTACATTTTCTACTATGTCATATTTTTCACTTACAGCTTCTTAGTTAAAATTCAGACTTTGAAGATAAAAACTGTCATCTTACATGTTTTAATATTCTTATAATGCTTATCTCGGTTCTTTGTACATTGGACTAAATGTAAAGGCTATTTTACTGTGTTACTAATTATTTAAAAGTTAATGATTCATGGGTAATGCAACCATTGACTGTTAAAGTGAATATCCCAGGCTTCCGTTTGGTAATGTTTACTATGGCTAATACATCTCAGTGCCCCTTCCGAACTCTTTGCACTGTTTTGCAGGTACTACGAAGCGTTTCCCCCGCTTTCGGAGAAGCCAGTTTGCCTGCAAGAGATCATGACCGTGTGGAACAAGTCTAAAGTCTGCTCTTCCTCCAGCTCCTCGTCATCGTCCACCGCGCCCCCAGCCAGCACAGACACGGCGTCCCCCAAGGACTGCAACAGTGAGGGCGAGGCCTGCAGGGACAGGGGCGAGGCGGTGCCCACCGCTGTACCCGCGCACACCCTGAGCAGAAGTAAAAACGAGAAGGAGAACAGATTTGGGAACGGCACAATTGAAGAGAAGCCCGCTCTGTACAAAAAACAAATGCGACACAAACCCGAAGGCAAGGTCCGTCCTCGCTCCTGGTCCTCCGGCTCCAGTGAGGCAGGCTCCAGCTCGAGCGGGAATCAGGGGGAACTAAAAGCATCCATGAAGTGCGTGAAAGTAAGACACAAGGCGCGAGACCTCCGACACAGGAAAGGGCGGAATGGGCAGAGCAGGCTCTCGCTGAAGCATGGCGAGAGGCCCGAAAGGATCAGCCACGTGGGCGGCGGCGGCAGCAGCAGCAGTGGCGGCTCTGGCAGGCAGCTGTGCAGGCGAGCGAAGAGACCATTGAAGGAGGTGGGCAGGAGGGACGCGGACGGCGCGGAGGGCGGAGACCTGCACCTGGACAGCAGAAACGACAAGGAGTACAAAGAAGAGCCGCTGTGGTACACCGAACCCATCGCAGAATACTTCGTTCCTTTGAGCAGGAAAAGCAAACTAGAGACCACGTACCGAAACCGACAGGGTGCGCGGGATCCGACCGCAGAGGCGATCGGAGAGTTGTCTGACTCAGTGCACGGCCTTTGTATCAGCAGCAGTAACATTCATAAAGCATACCTCCCAGCGGGAACTTTCATCGATGGTCACTTTGTAGAAATGCCTGCGGTTATAAATGAGGAGGTTGACCTCCCTGGGACCTCCTTCTGTTCTCTCCCGGAGGACAACAGCTACTTGGATGATATTCATCTGTCAGAGTTAACACACTTCTATGAAGTGGACATTGATCAATCCATGTTGGATCCTGGTGCCTCAGAAACAATGCAAGGAGAAAGTCGGATTTTGAATATGATTCGACAAAAAAGCAAAGAGAGAAGTGATTTTGAGGCAGAATGTTGCATAGTGTTAGATGGGATGGAGTTGCAAGGGGAACGTGCAATATGGACAGATTCCACCAGCTCCGCGGCCGCTGAGGGCCAGTTCCTGCAGGGCCTGGGCAACCTGGCGCAGTTCTGGGAGTGCTGCTCATCCAGCTCCGGGGATGCCGACGGCGAGAGCTTCGGGGGAGAGTCTCCGATCAGGCTCTCCCCCATCTTAGACGGCGCAGCCCTCGACCCGCATCTGCTTGCCGGCAATCAAGAGCTCTTCTCAGATGTTAATGAAGGATCTGGTATAAACTCTTGTTTTTCAGTGTTTGAAGTGCAATGCAGTAATTCTGTTCTACCATTTTCTTTTGAAACACTCAACTTGGGGAATGAAAATACAGATTCTAGTGTGAACACACTCGGGAAAACACAGTCCAGGTTGCTAATATGGACCAGAAATAGTGCCTTTGAAGAAAATGAACACTGTTCTAATCTTTCCACAAGAACCTGTAGCCCATGGTCCCATTCAGAAGAAACACGTTCGGACAATGAGACATTAAGTCTCCAGTTGGAAGAATCCACGCAGTTTAACACAGAAGATGTTAATTATGTGGTTCCTAGAGTCTCGTCAAATTATGTAGATGAAGAACTTCTAGATTTTTTGCAAGATGAAACTTGCCAACAAAACAGTAGAACTTTAGGAGAAATTCCCACGTTAGTTTTAAAAAAAAAATCGAAACTAGAATCTGTCTGTGGTATTCAGCTCGAACAAAAACCAGAGAACAAAACCTTTGAACCTACGCACATGAGTTGTGGGAGCAGCCCAGGTGGAGACGGCTATGGTCCGGGGGTCCTTAAAGACATCTGGACACAGCTGGCGGAGAGGAACTCCGTGGCGCTGGTGGAAGCCGAAGGAGCTGCTGATGAGCTGTTCTCGACAGACGTGAATAACTATTGCTGCTGTCTGGACGCTGAAGCCGAGGGGGAGCCGCTCCGGGAGCCCAGCAAGGCCGTGCAGCGGTCGGAGTACCGCCTGTGGGAGGGGCAGAAGGAGAACCTGGAGAAACGCGCCTTTGCTTTGGGCGAGCTGTCCAAGGTGGACGGCGGCGACTACACCACACCCTCCAAACCTTGGGACGTGACCCAGGAGAAGGAGAACGCGTTCATTCTCGGGGGCGTGTACGGAGAACTGAAGACCTTCAGCAGCGACGGGGAGTGGGCGGTGGTGCCGCCCGGCCACGCGAAGGGGAGCCTGCTGCAGTGCGCGGCCTCCGACGTGGTGACCATCGCCGGCACGGACGTCTTCATGACGCCGGGGAACAGCTTCGCTCCCGGCCACCGGCAGCTGTGGAAGCCCCTCGTGGCGCTGGAGCAGAGCGACCCGCCGAGGACGGGGGAGGGCGGGTTAAATAAGGGGTTTTCCTTTGTCTTCCATGAAGACTTCCTGGGAGCTTGTGGCAACTTTCAAGTTGAAGATCCTGGACTCGAGTATTCGTTCTCTTCCTTCGACTTGAACAATCCGTTTTCCCAAGTTCTTCACGTGGAGTGCTCCTTGGAGCCCGAAGGGATCGCGTCTTTCAGCCCTGGTTTCAAGCCCAAGTCCATCCTCTGCTCCGACTCCGACAGTGATGTGTTCCACCCCCGGATCTGCGGCGTCGACAGAACCCAGTACAGGGCCATTCGGATCTCGCCTAGGACTCACTTCCGCCCCATTTCCGCATCCGAACTGTCCCCTGGAGCGGGGAGCGAGTCCGAGTTTGAGTCTGAGAAAGACGAAGCCAGTCTCCCCGTTCCTCCTCAGGTTGACGCGTTCGAAGATCCACAGGCAGATCTCAAGCCCCTGGAAGAAGATGCGCAGAAAGAAGGCCATTACTACGGGAAGTCGGAACTGGAGTCGGGGAAGTTCCTGCCCCGGCTGAAGAGGTCGGGGATGGAGAAGAGCGCGCAGACGTCCCTGGATGCGCAGGAGGAGCCAGCGGGGAAGCAGGCCCAGTGCCTGGAGTGCAGCGGGAGCGAGCCCCTGGGCACCGGTGTGGAAAGCTCAGAGGCAAATTGTAAAATAATGGCCCCGTGTGAGGAAGACGCTCATCATTTCTGCAGTTGCAAAGCAGGTTGTCAGTTCCCTGCCTATGAAGATAACCCGGTTCCTTCCGGACAGCTGGAGGAGGTATGTGTCTATGTGTGGGTGTCCATAAAGGGGTTTGACAGGCTGTACCCCAAGAACAGGCAAGGAACGATGGCGGTAAGTTATTGAGGCATGTGCATAACTGTCTTAAAATGGATCATCCTTATGGTTTTACATAAGGACTTAAAATGGACTTGATGTTTATAAACTTAAACTAGACATTTTATGCAGAGAAAAGACATTTAAAAATACATCAGTGGTCTAAGGTTCTCATGTGTTGTCTTAACATGCATGTATTATGCTTAAAGCGAAACCTAATCTATAAGCATTACAGCTTTCAAAGTTGGTGAATCAGAGAACGCCAGGTGCTAGAACGGGGTCAGACCACCTCGGTACTTGAGTTCTGGCTGAGAAAGAATTCAGAGCCAAGACTCAACCTGTAAGAGAACATTTATTTAGAAACTCACAGAGGTAGAAGTCATTTGTAGAAGAAATGTGCTTAGGAAACAAGTTATAGAGGGAAAGAAAGGGCCCTTGGAGCTGAGAAGTGAGGAAGGTGAAGGTGTCATGCTTGTGGGGAGCGGGAGGGGAGGGGAACGACACAGCCATGCTCTTGGGGAGAATGTGCGGGGTCCGCATCCTCAGGCTTTCAGGGTGGAGAGTGTAGGGCAGGGCCCAGGGGACGATCTCAGCAGCATATGCAGCAGTTTTCCAGGTGGGTCCTTCAGGGCCAGGGTTTCCACTGACTGACTGGCGCCGGGGCAGGGGCTCATTATCTAATGCAGCTGGTTCTGAGGGCAGCCATGGGGCTGGTTGTCTGACTGCTGCTTTTCTGGCCCTGAAGCTAAAATATACTGAGGCCTGGATGTTAGCCTAGGGAGGGAAGGTCAGGGGCCTAAATTGGATGATCAGAGACATGAGAGGTCAGGCGGTCCAAACCGCATGAGCAGCGTATGCTAGGGGAGGAAAGCTCACCCTACAGTTGTCCTTTGCCAAGCCCCCGGGGCTTTCCCCGCTGTAGCCTTCTGTAGCTGGCCCGTCGTCCTCACTCTGCCCATGTCTAACTGCCCTCCACACTGCTCTTCAGAAGCAGCAGCGCGTCCACCTAACTGCCTCTGCAGCATTGAAATCGGGGAACCTGTGTAGCGCTCTCTGCAGTGCATTTGCTGCGTGTGAAAACTAGCCCACAGCCCATGTGCAACCCAACAGCTTCCACAGAATCTCTGCGCAGGCACAGCTCACCCCAGCGCAGGTTCCCGCAGTGACGAGTGAGAGCAGGAGTCACTTAATGGGAGCCACTGTCCCCTCTGTGCTCCTAGGAGTGCTTGAGCTTAAATTAATTGTCCAAGAAATACCACTTAAAGCAATCACCTGCTTCCAAGAGCGCAGTGGTCTGCCCACTCCGGCCATCATTCGGTGGAGCAGCACCTGGCTTGCTGGAGCAGCTGTGAGAGGCACTGCAGGTGGGGAGGAGCCCTCACACCTGCGCCCGGGAGCAGCCGCGAGTCACCTTCCTCCCATGTGTCCCGCGCACTCCTCCACCGTGGGCACATCCGAGTCCTCCCCGTGCCGAGCCCTCAGGCCCCTCCTCCTTCCCTGGCACATTCCCTAGTTCTCTCTGCTCTTAATTTTCCCTGCATCACATGCCTCTTTTTATTGCATTTTCCATTCTTCATGAGTCACTTCTGTACTTCCTCTCGTTAGATTGGAAGCCCCTGTGCATACAGACCGGGTGCCTTCCTCATTTGTCCGTCCCTGCCTGGGTGCAGGTGATGGCAGGAGGACCCCAGGTGACAGGAATGCTGCTCTAATTAGCTTGCTGGATATCCTTAGACCAGTGGTTCTCAACCTTCTGGCCCTTTAAATACAGTTCCTCAGGCTGGGATCCAACCATAAAATTATTTTCGTGGCTACTTCATCACTGTCATGTTGCTACTGTGATGAATCGTCATGTAAATATCTGATATGCAGGATGTTCTTAGGCGACCCCTGTGAAAGGGTCATTCGACCGCCAAAGGGGTCACGACCCACAGGTTGAGAATGGCTGCCTTCGACTGAATTGAAACACTGAATCTTAACTTGCTGAGAACAAAAACAATGTTGCTCGCCTATGTTTACTGCCCACTTTTCGTCCTTAAACATTCCTTTCTGTACTTTGTATCTCACCTGGCTCCAGATTGGGAAGAAAGAAAAGGAGGGGAGAAGCGATTCCACCTCAGCCACCACACTACCATGTGCCTCGCTTGCTAGTATGTTGATGTATTTCCGTGTTACCAGCGTTCTGGGTTGCCTGGAAGGTTATAGCACCAGTACAGTCCTCAGAGGACATTGCCGGTCGCCTGATAGTGCAGGTGTTGTTGGTACCATCAGCCCTCGTCTCTCGACAGCGGCACACGGTTCAGAGCTGGTCTGAGCTCACTCCATAGATCCCTGAGGGTGGAGGGGCCTGAGGGACAGCATGGGGTCGGGCTGGGAGCAGAGCCCGGCCTTCCTCTCTCACCGTCTGGTCAGCCTCAGAGCTGCTGCAGGGCTCCCCTTCCCTGGGTGAGGACAGGCCACCGAGGGCAGTCTGGGCGCCCCACCGTGTCCGAGCACGCGGGCTACACATGCAGGATTTCTAGTAGAATGGGTGCCCAGGAGAATGAATGACTGTTTGCCAAAGTTCCCATCAGCAAACATATATCACATACCTGACAAGGCATTGTCCCTGCCCCTGAGGAAGCCAGTCTAGTCCCAGACCACTTTGTAAACCGATCCCTTATTTTGGTTGAAGTAGGTAATTCATTCATGTGGTTCAAGATCCAAACTTAAAGACGGAGCGCACAGTGAGGGCTCCTCCCCAGCCACAGTCACAGCCACAGCCACGAGAGGTTCTGGGGTCTCCTCTGAGTGTGTATTCCGCATGGATACGCAAATATGTGGTCACATCTATTTCCTCCTATTTGTTCTTTTTACTGAAATGGCACTTCATTATAATCCCCCTTCCTCTATTTTCTGCACACGATTCTGTTGTGTGGATGCACCATGATTTGCCCGGCGGGTCCCTTATCTTCAGGTAATTTGAGACTGCATGGTCGGGGGCATGGCGCCAGGAGCACGGGGTGCCCGGGAGCCCAAGGCGAGCCCTCACCCCCGAGAATCAGGGAGACGTCTGAACAACCTGCGGGCTCAGGCAGAAAGGAGGCGGGCACACAGGCAGGAGGAACAGCATGGGCGAAGGTCAAGGGGCTTGAAGTTAACTCCTCACTCACGTGTGCAGGCCCTGCCCGCAGGAGCTCCGGCTCCTGGGGGCTAGCAGTGTGTCGCGGGACACTTGTCACCTGCTTGGTTACCGTCTTGGTGCCCTGCACTTCGAAGCACAGATCCGAGGCGGGGGCCTGGGCCATAGAAGAACACGTATTCGTTTGGCAAAGGTCATAGATGTCAGATGGTCACTAGACTTCCCGTGGCGACTGCGGCCTCGGTCTGTCCATGTGAGTAACTGTGTTGTGCAGCTGCAGGCGCCCGCCGTTCTGGAGAGGAGGCCATGGGCAGGCAGTGTGCGGGGTGGGGGTGGGGGGGGACCAGAGGCTGATGGGGGTGGCGCCCAGAGCCACCGACCATGTGACCATCCCCGCTGCTGTGCACTGCATGCCCGCAGAGACCTGCAGCCGGTCCCCTGTGGCTGCGGAGGACACTAGGTCCAGGGGGTAAGCATCTGTCCCAGATCCCCGTCTGAGGGACAGAGCCGAGTTCTCGCTCTGGTTAGCACTTCCTGTCGGTAAAGGGAAACTTCAAGCAGCCCGGGTCGAGTCTCTCAGACTCCAGTCTCTCCTTAGTCCCTGTCGCTCTCTGCTTCTCTTCGTGTACATTTCCAGGTGTATGGGGGCTTTCTTTTCCTTGTGTGGCCCTGATAACAGAACGGACTGTGGCAAACAGTCCCAGAGCACGACTCACAGGAACCCCAATCCTTTCCCTTCACCAGAACCAGGAACACGCAGCGAGTGTAACGGAGCCTCCGCCCCTTCCACCTGCTGAGCATTCCCGAGCGCTGCTCATCGCTGGGCGGCGCGGGTCTGGCTCTAGGTTCAGTTGGTATTCTCTCTCTCTCTCTCGCTCTCTCTCGCTCTCTCCCCCCAACCTGTGAAGAGCCTGTTACGCTGGGTGCTGCTTGGTGCTGGCGCAAGGAACCGCGACTGCACGTTTGCAGCGCCACGCTCAGTGACCACGGCCAATGCTGGGGAAGGGGAGGCCGGGGAAGGCTTGGTGGCAGGAGGAGTGTCCGTAGTCAGTCTGGTGGCTGGCAGTTTCAGGAGCGGCCTGGAGGCGGGAGGTGCTCGGGCAGGTGTGCCGGCTCGGGCAGGCGGTGTTCTCTTTTACCCCACTCTCTCCGCTCCTCTCACTCTCAGCCACAAGTCGAATTACTACATTAAACAGACTTCACTTAAGGCACGTCGTCCTCACTGTGCAGCCTGGAAGGTGCGAATGGCTCAGTGGGAAGATGGTGTAGAAGGACGCGTATTCGTTTGGCAGAGGTCATAGGTGTCAGATGGTCACTGACTGTGGCGATCCCGGCCTCGGGCCTGTCCATGTTGTGCACCTGAGACAAATATAATCTTGTGTATTAGCTGCATATTTAAGTAATTCTTTATTGACTTTAGAGAAAGGGAGAGAGAGAGAGAGAGACATCAGTCATCCCCTCTCCTGCACCCCCCTCCGGCATCCAGCCCGAAGCCCAGGCCGCGGCCTGACTCGGAATTGACCTGGCGTCCTTTTGGCCCACAGGCCTCCGCTCGTCCAGCTGTGCCCCGGCCGGAGCTTGTTAACCATAGTAACAAAGTACAGATGAGGAGACAAGGCAGCGTGAACAGTGCGTGTACATGGACTGTGTGTCCAGTGTAGCATAAACAGGACAGGAAGTCCCTGCCGTTGGGATTGCCACTCTAATGGAGGATGCAAGAGAACTCTTCAGACTGGCGGGAACTGGCACACTCTTCACATGTTTCAGCACGAGAGGGAGCTGTAGGCAGGTGTCCTCTGCGGGGCCGCAGACGCCAGTACCTGCCTTAGGTCCACAGAGGTACAAGAGACCTGGTCCTGCCCGTCAGCGCACAGTGCGGCTCACTCGTACCGCGCCTCCTCCTCCTCCTGCCGACCCAGCTCCCGGGTGGGGCTGGACCCCCTCAGCCTGCACCCCTGGGTTTTGCTGGCCTCGTTTGCGTGAAGCCTCCCCTGGGCAGTCCCTCCTGCCTTGGTTTCTGTTGCTTGAGGCGCAGTGCTGATGTTCATTGTTAGAGTGAGCTCAGGAGGGGATAGTGGCAGCGAGCTGACACAGGGTGACAGCACAACTTCCATTGCAGATCTAGGCGTGTTTCTGGGAAGTTACGTTAAGCAAAAATGAAAGTTGGAAGCGTGTTTCCCATTTAGTTAAATAATGAAAAACACCAGTTGCTAAATCAAAAAGTTGTAGGTCCGCAAAGTATTTTAAGAGAGTAACAGTCCTGTTAGAGAATTGATGAGTATTAGTTGCTAAAGCAGAATTTAAACTTGAACACTAATGAAGGTCTCCTAAAACGATAAAGATGTGCGCAGTGTCCACAGGCCTGTACACTGAGCAGACATCTGTGGAGAGGGCTGGGGCTGTGGGAGGTGAAGACACCAGACCAGGCCTTCCCTGGGGAGAGGGAAGGAGGAGCATGGCGGAGGGTTGCCCTGGCCACCAGCAGCCAGGATGCATGTGGGCACCGCAGCTGCCACAGACTCTAATTACCATCCACGGACACCTGCTGCCTTTGACCACTGGCCACATTGCCCAGCAGGTGGGCGGGATCTGGCTGGGACCTGAGAGTTGCACTCGTCCAGGATGCAGCCTGGATTCAGACTCGTCCCCTGGGAGCCTGGTGCCCTCTGCAGGGCCAGGGAGATGCAGCGAGTGTGTGCCGGTTTCCTACCCTCAGAGCTCCCCCTTCTCACCAACCCCCCACCTCCCTTCCAAGGCCATGTCCTGGAAATTGGGATTACTCTCAGCATTATTACCGGGTTTTTAGTCTCACCTTCCTTCTGGTTCTCACTGAAGCAAGTAATGCTGTTTTAAACACATTTGGGCCAAAAACTGGCTATAAAATTTCCTTCTGTACCATTTCTTCTTCCTTGACTCCCTCGAGCCTGGTGTGCGAAGAGGAGGGTCCCCCATTTTCTCTAGAGCCGTGGTCGGCAAACTGCGGCTTGTGAGCCACATGTGGTTCTTTGGCCCCTTGAGCGTGGCTCTTTCACAAAATACCACCTAC